CAGAGACGGGTCAGACTTGGGGCTACACAGGACCCGTTTCACTTCGTCCACCCCGGACTGCAGGAGGCGGTAGTAGAACAACCCGCGGTCCCGCACGGCCATATCCATCTCCTCCTCTGGGAACAAGACACGGGGCTGACGGAGAATCCCTCCGCCCAGGTTCCCCTGAAGCACTAACCCTGAATTACTAAAAACAGATGCTCAGGGATCCCGCGTGAGCCCGTTACCAACCAGCCAGGGGCCACAGCAGCCTGAGGCTCAGAGCCCCCTCACCTTCCCGCCCCCCGGGGCTCCTTGCGGCGGGAGCTGACCCCCGGCCCCACGCAGGCCCCCGCCGGCCCCTCCAGACGCAGGCACCCACCAATGCAGTAGTAGAGCAGCCGGCCCAGCGTGTCCTGACACTCGGCAGGACGGGACAGGAAGAGCCGCACCAGCGCCGTCAGCAGTTCCATCTTCACCGACGGGAACGTCTCCGATTTCACGTTCTCCACAAAGTCCTCTAGGACATAGGGGGCGTTCGGCACCTTCTCGCCGTGGGTGCCCAGCAGCCAGATCAGCGCTTGCTTGCCCTGGAGGAACCACGGAACAGCAGCAAAGGGCGCCGCTTACCAGGAAGGGTGTAGACATGAGAGAAGAAACAGAGACGAGAGGACGAGTCTTGGGGAGGTCTCTGGTCCGCGCCCACCGGAAGGGAAGGGCAGAGCCGTGCCCCGTCCGCAGGAGCCCTCACCTCGCTGTCCTGGACGGCGTCCTCGCAGCTGGGCAGCGCCCGGCAGACGGCGTCCGTGCACTGCGGGCACAGCCAGACCAGGTCCCGGAAAGCCTGAACCACCGCTGCAGGGAAACAGAACCCTCAGCATCCCCCGAGAGCTAAAAAAGCACTAGGGGAGTAAAAAAAAAAAAAAGATATTCCAAAACTGCAGAGATTTTGCACATCTTCGCTAGGAAGGTCAGTGCCATGCTTGGGGCCGATTTGAGACACCCTCCTTCAGAGCCCCGTGACACGGCGTTTGTCAGAGCAAAACCTGCCCCAAGTCTAAAATAAACCACTGAAACTTTAGATTGTTCCTCTGGCTGCTGGTAAGTAACCTCTCTTCTGGACATTCCCCAGCCTTTAAAAAGACACTGACTCACAATGCTTCAGACACACGAGGTTAGGATGACAAATTAAAACTGAGACCAATTCAAAACGAGCCTCAAGAACCTTAGGGCAAAAGCCGAAGGCTCTGCTGCCCACCTCCAGAAACAGCGGCAGGGCCTGAGCTCTAATTCAACATCTGAGCACAAGCACGTGACGTTCAAAGCTGTGTCAGAGCAGAGCGGGCAGAGACAGCAGCAGCAGGTCAGAGCCGAGGGCAGGCGGAGGGCGAGGGAAGCCTCGGTACAGCTGAGTCAGACTGACATGAGCAACAGGGACCACAAAGATTTAAAAGATCTATCAATCACCTGGGCCCTCAGACAGTCACTAAAAGTCCCTGCCGAGTCCCTCCCTCCCCGAGTCAGCAGGTGGCAGCCAGAAAGGAGCCTCCACACCCCACCACGAAGGCAGCTACCACCACCTCCCCCTTCACCGCCCGGTGGCTCCTGAGGAAGGAAAAACTCCAAGGGCCGGCCGCAGGACTTACCCCAGCTCCACCCAAGGCTTCCACCCGAAGATGCCAACGGAGTTAAAAGCCAAATGCCTTTGAGAGCCTTGAGTCTGGGAAGAGGAGCCCCAGCCAGGCCCTGTCCCGAAAGCCTAAACCAGGCGACCGAGCTGCAGGCCCTTACCTGAAGTGACGTGCTCCTGCTGGAGCCCCAGGAGCTCTGTCAGGATCCCCACGCACTGCTCCGTGTACGTCCTGGCAATATTGCCTGCAGAGATGCCGAAGGACATAAAAGTCAACCTTTTATCAGAGCAAAACGGGAACCACGAACCTGCTGTTCATCACTTTTCTTAAACGTAACAGGTACAAAAGGCATTTTAGCATCCCTGGCTTTCTCCCTATGAACACTATAGACACTCACCTATTTTAACGCTTACAAACCCAGAAGTGCCCCAAATCACCTTCCTCTGCCCCCACCACAACTCAGAGCCAGCAGGCATGGGGGCAGCTCCTCCACCCACTACACAGTTCCACTCAACGCTCTAAGACTCGTTAAGAAGATGAAATGACACAACTTCTTCAGGGCATCTCACCAGAGCACAGACAACCGAACGGGACACGAGGACTTTACGCGCAGCCTGGAACAGCCCAAGGCCAGGACTTCGGGGAGAGCCAGCATGGTTGTGGTTCAGAAACACTCCGGCCAAAGGCTCCCGGGGAGGCTGGTCTGCAGGGGCTGTGCTGCCTCGGCACAGAGCAGCTCTTTGGCGCCTGCCCAGAGGCGCTTCAGCAGAGAAAGGCCCTTCCCAAAGGCGAGGGGCTGCGGCCCCGGGCGCTCACCTATGGCGAAGATGGCCCCTTGGGCGAGCTCCACCGACACGTCGGTGCAGTAGCCCTTCAGCTCCTCCAGCACTTGCTGTACGTTTTCGTCGTTCACCAGCTCGCACAACACCTCCATCTTCTGGCACTTGATGTAGTGGGGCTCCGAATACGAACAGAAGAACTTTTTGTAGTGGCTGCTAAAATGGCCGGGGAGGCTACCGAGGATCTGCCGCACGTGGCAGAGCGCGGTGAAGCAGAGCTCCCGGCTCTCGGAGGTGCAGGCAGACAGCAGCGGCCCCTTCACCCGCACCAGCACGTCTGCCTGCACGTGTGGGTACTCCCTGGCCAGCACCAGGAAGAGCTTGGTGGCCGCCATCACAACGCTGGGGCTGCTGCTCTTGAGGCAGCCGTCCAGCAGGTTGAGAATGTCGAAGAGCTCCTCCTCGCTGCGGGGTCTGTAACGCAGGAGGAAGGTCAGCACCTCGCTCTGCCCCCACTGGTCCAGGTCAGGCATCCTGCCGAGGGAGGGAACAGGGTCTGCAGGAGCCCCAGGCCCCGCGTTTCTCACGGCCTCTGTCCCAAACCGCTGCACCTCGGGGCGGATCCCCCCACGTCACCTCAGAACCGGCCCGCTCGTGCACAGGGGCTTAACTCGGTGTCAGCCACGTGCACTTTTACTGGTGCTCAGAGCCAGACAGCACTGCAAGCACCCTGGCAGAGCAACACCCCTCTTCTGCCAGGTCACACAGAATTACCTGCAGACAAGCTAATTTTTTCAAGCAATGCATCCTTCAATGCACTGGGAGGAACATACCAGAACATACCTGTCCCCCAAATATATCATCTGTGCTGTCACCAAAAATACCCCAATACCCAATCACGTTAACCTGCAATTTCAGACCAAACCACCAACTGAAGCAAAGACTCCCTGGGAAAGCAGAGCCTCTCAGATTTCTCTTAAGACCTTCACATAAAAGTAAGGTTTCTTTTAGGTTGGGCACCTCCACCTTTGGTGCCTGACTGCCCCCTCCAGGTCCCGAGGGGGGGCAGGAACACCCACCCCCAGCCTGCAAAGGGCGGGAACAGGGATGAACCTTCCAGCACCACCCTAACAGCCAAGGACACAAACCTGTTGAGGAGATGATGGGCAATGGGCTTGTTGATGACAACTCCTCCCTCCTTCTTCAGGATCTCTTCTAAGGCCCTCAGACAATTCACGACTACAATGGGATCCTGGTCCCGAAGCAAACTGTACAGCTCGTTCACCAGGGCGCCGTCTGCCGAGAAGCAGAGGTGCTCGGATCAAACCCTGCTGACACGTTGCAACGCGACCGCTGTCTGCGCGTGTATCACGAATGGGAGATACAGCCTGAACCTGGACCTGCCTCGACACCTCCAGCTCTGCCGCAGACCTGCCCCGGGCACGGGAGAAGGCACCTGGCGCCTCGGGGGCTGCGGGAACGGGCAGGTGTTGTGGGACACCCCACAAAAGCCGGTGTGGAAGGGGTGCTCAGGCGTGGAGCCCCACAAGCCTGGCCTTTGGGGACTGACTCGACAGCAGGGACAGCCCAACCACCCTCCTCCTCCTCCTCTCTCTCTGCCCCGCGGCCACCGCCCAGGGCAGCGGGCCCCGGGCAGCCCGTGGGCCCGGGTGTGCTTCGGACAGCCCTGTGCCACCTCCTCCTCCTCCTCCCCGGCGGGCGCGGGCCCCCTTACCCACTTCGGCGTCTCCCTGCAGCTTCACCATCTTGGCGCAGCCCAGCACGGCCGCTCTCCGCACATACGAGGCCTTGTCCCGCAGGGCGCTGAGCAGGGGCTGCTGCAGGTACTCCTGGATGCCGGGCATCCTGCGGGCGGGGGTCAGCGGGGGCCCCCGCCGCCCCCTCCCGCTGCCCCGGGAACCCCGG